CACAACCTCTCCAGCAAAGGCTATCATTGGTGTTTTTGATTTTAGCCATTCTGACAGGTGTAAGATGGTATCTTAAAGTTGTCTTGATTTGCATTTCCCTGATTGCTAAGGAAGTTGAGCATGACCTTGAGTGTTTTTTGGCCATTTGAACTTCTTCTGTTGAGAATTCTCTGTTCAGATCAGTGCCCCATTTTATAATTGGGTTGATTAGCATTTTACAGTCTAGTTTCTTGAGTTCTTTATATATTTTGGAGATCAGACCTTTGTCAGTTGGGGGGTTAGTGAAGATCTTCTCCCAGTCAGTGGGTTGCCTTTCTGTCTTAGTGACAGTGTCCTTTGCTTTACAGAAGCTTCTCAGTCTCAGGAGGTCCCATTTATTCAATGATGCCCTTAATGTCTGTGTTGCTGGGGTTATACGTAGGACGTGGTCTCCTGTGCCCATGTGTTGTAGAGTACTTCCCACTTTCTCTTCTATCAGGTTCAGTGTGTTCGGACTGATATTGAGGTCTTTAATTGATTTGGACTTGAGTTTTGTGCATGGTGATAGATATGGATCTATTTTCATTCTTCTATAGATTGACATCCAGTTTTGCCAGCACAACTTGCTTTTAGTCTATGTTTTTAAAGATTTATTCTTACTTTTATGCTTGATTTTAGTCTATCTATGTTTTTAAAGATTTATTCTTACTATGTACCTTTTTTATTCTATATTTTTATGTGCATTTCTCCAAGTACAAATATGTTTTAAAACTACAAGGTTTTAAAAACCAGCTAACTAATCTGATCTGAGAGTTCACGCAGGGATGGCTGGTGTCACAGGCTAGCCCTTCCTGCTGCATGCTTCTCTTTCCATCACACCAAAACCAGAGACACAACATCACACCAGTCACACCGAAACCAGAGACACAACATCACACCAGCCACACCAAAACCATAAAGTATCTACGTTATCGTCATCCAGGCTCTGCCTGAATGTACTGAAGTACAAAAACCATGATTATTTGGCAGAGCAGGACCTCAAAGCCAAGCAGGAAAGATGCATGATTAAACCCCCAGTGAGAATTTTATCCTGTCTTGTATATTGACTCTTCCATCATGGTACCACAGTCTCTTCCCACCCTCTCCAGGTGTGGGGAGGCAGCCTTGCCAGTCCTCCTGCCCTCCTTCCTCAGGACAGTTCTTGGAGGAGTTGTCATCCTCCCAAGGGAAAGCCTGCTCTGCCTCTGGAACATTTTCCCACGCTGGAAATGCCCGATAGTTCAAACAAACGAATGTTCTTCACAGCACAGCAATTATTTTCTCTATCCTGGCAGGTTCGTCTACTTTGGTCCAGTTTTTTTGTTTGTTTGTTTGGTTTTTTTTTTTTGTCTCGTTCTTGCTCATATGAGAATGCTCCACAGATTTACACTTCCAGGCTGGCGGAGATCATCCGTTCATCTGCAGGAAACTTCTGCTTTCCCACGAGCGAGGAGGAGCAATAGCACACTGTGCTGCGATGCCCCTGCCTCACTCCAGCTGGCTACTTACGAATGTTTGCAGTCAGCATAGGTGCGAAAGTTAGCCGTGGAAATGGCCATGCGAGCACAGTTACCCCGAGCTACCTGAGTTAAAGCGCCTCACCAGTTCCCACGTGGACGTGACTTTAATTCTTTCCTGTTTCGGTTCCAGAAGAAATGGAAGGCCTCCGGAAGAGCACATATGGAGCCATAGTTGAAGGTAAGAAAGCACCAAGGTTCTGAAGGGACCGAGACCCCAAACAGGTTCAGACACTCAAGATCAAGAGGGAGAAGACAACTGCCGTTTGTTCCCTGTGTCTCCAGATCTCTGTGTCTAAGCCACTGCTGTGTTCATGTACACATATGCACACATAACACACACAGGCATACACATACACACGCACAGAGACACGCATGCACACAGACTCACGTGCTTGCAAACACACACATGTGCACACACACTCCACGGTGACACTCTCCTCCACACGATGTGGTGAAACGTGATTCTGACACACGTTCAGGGTTAGAAGGGCCTGCAACTAAACAGTGACAGAGTTTCTCTTTCCTTCCTCATCTCCTCTCAGCTGAGAGAGAGGGGGGGATGGTAAGAAGGGAGGGAGGGAGGAAGAGAGGGTGGGAGGGAGGGAGGGAGGGAGGGAGGGAGGGAGGGAGGGAGGGAGGAAGTGAGGGAGGAAGGAAGGAAGGAAGGAAGGAAGGAAGGAAGGAAGGAAGGAAGGAAGTTGCCCTAAAGTGATCATGTCTTACAGAACACCCCATAACACTAAGGGAAATTAAAACCAGCACAAAGTAAAGGGAATCAGCTCGATTTTGTTTCTATGATACTGAGAATTGAACACCGAGCCTTACAATGCCGGATGGGCACTCTACCACTGAGCCACCCTCAGCTTTCCCCCAAATGACAGATTTTTAGGAGTGTAAAGGGCACTTAAAACTCATTTGGACTCACGGGACAGCCCCGGGTCCTCATCCCTTCAAGGCTGGAGATCTGAGCTCTTGTCTTCATGGTGTCCCTCCATCACTCCTCTTGTTACAGGCCCTGGGCCACGCCCAGCAATAGATGACCTTTCTAGCATGTCTGCTTCCGATTCTAACCATCTTCTCTCCCACCCTTCTGCACCCACCCACTTTGTATCATTTCCCTGATGTTAACTGCCACCGTCCCCCACCTCAAATCCAAGTGCCCCCTTTGCTTCCTAGGCTAATCCAGCTGTCTCTGAGTGTGAGCAGCTGCAGCTCTTCCACCTGGGGTAACCTCGGGGTGAGGGGCGGGGTTAAACTGAGCACATTCACACAGTACGTCTGGAGCATCGTGGGTAAAAGAGGTGGCTGTCAGCCATGACTTCATCTCTGCCTGCTCCTTAACTAACACATACATATTTCACAACCAGTTTTCTGGAGAGCTGCCCTGAGCATCCTCTAGGGGAGAGCACAGGGACCTTTTCTTCAGCAATGGCACATTTGTTGTGATCCAGATAGAACAGAGCCTCTCCTTCCTGTTACTATCCCACCCCCTGCCCATGTGTTCTAGAATGGGCTCCCAACAGGGACTTCATGAAAGCCCAGGACCACCTAAAATTACAGGCAACCAGTTGGGAGCATTTGAATGGCACCTCTTTTTCTGGGAATGAGGACAGTTGATTTCAGGAGATATCTGCAAGGACCCAGGACGTCAAAGCCCAAAGACTTGCTGAGTGAGGCACAAACCTACTTTCGTCCACAGGGAGCAGGGAAGCCTACTGTGGAGCAGAATCGGGCTGCTTGAGGATCCTCCTGGTGGGTATATCTGGCTGCGGGAAAAGCGCCACAGGGAACAGCATCCTCTGCCGACAAGCGTTCGAGTCCAGGCTCAGAGCCCAGTCAGTGACCAGGACCAGCCAGGCAGAGATGGGCACATGGAAGGGAAGGAGACTGCTAGTGGTAGACACGCCCCCCATCTTTGGGTCAAAGGCCCAGAACCAAGACATGGACAAGGACATTGGAGATTGTTACCTGCTGTGTGCCCCAGGACCCCATGTGCTGCTGCTGGTGACCCAGCTGGGACGCTTCACAGCTCAGGACACCCTAGCCGTGAGGAGGGTGAAGGAGATCTTCGGGGCAGGAGTCATGAGACACACGATCGTCCTCTTCACCCACAAGGAAGACCTGGCAAATGAGACTTTGGATGAGTTTGTGACCCACACTGATAACCACAGCCTGCACAGCCTGGTCCACGAGTGTGGGAGGAGGTACTGTGCCTTTAATAACAGGGCCTCAGGGGAAGAGCAGCAGGGACAGCTGGCAGAGCTCATGGCCCTGGTGAGGGGGCTGGAGCAGGAGTGTGAGGGCTCTTTCCATAGCAACGACCTCTTCCTTCATGCCCATGTGCTCCTTAATGGTGGCTGCAGTGAGTACCAGGAAGCCTACAGGTGCTACCTGGCCAAGGTGAGGCAGGAGGTGGAGAGGCAGAAGCGGGAGCTGGAGGAGCAGGAGGGCAGCTGGGTGGCTAAGATGCTTTGCAGAGTCAGGACATGCTCGTGCTCCCAAATCGCAGCAGCCGCCCTTCTTATTGGGTGTGGTTTGGTTTTTATTGGCATTTTAATTAACTTGTATGTTAACCAGTGGAACTGAGCCTTTTCAGGTGATTTCTGCCATCAGCGCCCTCTCCCAAGGTTCGCATTTCTGTCTGCACTGGGGTACCTCAGTTTCACGTTCATTTGACACCCTTGAATCGAGTATGAAAGAAAAGGAACGTATTACTTAAGTCGTGAGGGTGAGTCAAGTAGTTCCATCATAAAGGCCCAGGTGCTAATATTCAGGCATCTGCCCTGGCCAGCCCTTAGGGTCCTGACAGGCTGCTCCTCAACTCCGCCCACTAAGAACACCCCCATGCACATTCGCCATGTTCCCTCATAAAAGTCAAGCCTCGTCACCTCCTGACTCCTTCTCTTCCACCACTCTTGTCCCCAGGGACCAGTCTCTGTCCCTCTCTCTGCCCCTTTCCTACCCTTCTTTCCTCTTCCAATAAACCTCCACGGTGAGCCCTGCTGTATGGCTTTACTCCTTCCTGTTGACTTTTAAACTGTAATCTTGGTGTCGGACCCGCGGCAGGCTCTTCTGGGCTTCCTCTTGCCCATTGGCAGCGTGAGGCATGCCGAGACCCCGGATCCCGGTCCAGATATGACAGCCTCACTTGTCCAACCAACAGGTTGCTGAGCCCGGCTAACCAAAATGGGCGTGATTGGTGAGCCTCCCTTGTCTGGCCATTTCCCACGAGGGAGGATTCGTCTCTCCGCCATGACTTCTCACCTCAGGAACAAGCCCTGATATCAGACAACTCACGTGTCTCTTGGGGCTCAGCACGCCATGGCCCCTGGACCTTTGGGTGATGACTCACTGGCCAGCTTCTGCCTTCTCAATCAATCCCCTCGGAACTCCTGGGACGCTAGAAATTGCAGACTTTTGGCTCTTACTTCTCTGCCTCGCTCATGGGAACTATATCACTGTCTACACCTCCAAGCGCTCAGGCTTTTAAGAGCTTCTAAATTCATCTGCCTTTGCGGCCAAATCTGGCCCAAATGCCCCTTAGATATCAATCCAAATGGCGGCTTCTCAGCACCCTATATCCCGACATTTTAAGGACCTTTGCTACAGTCTGTGAGTGATCCAACAGATGGAAGGGGTGCCCTGTTTTCAAGCTTTCTCTTATCTCCACTTAAAGCCCTCTCTACATTCTTTTTCCTGGTTCTTCTACTCAGCTATGAAGCCCGTTAAGCTGCATTTCTCCCTTTCATTGAGTAAACAGACAACAAACTGGGGTTTTATACGTCTAACTCTGCTTCTTTCATTTAAGAATTCCAAAGTCAGTTTCCGAAGCAACAATCCGCCTCTGCCGCTAAAGCAGATTCGTGCTGCCAGGTCCCTTTCCGCCATCAGCTATGCAGCGTGCGCACCCTTTAAAAGTACCCGGCAGGAAGAGCGCGTTCCCGTTGCCTCGTCTCTTGTCTCTTACACCTGTCTTTGTCTCTAATTTCCTCCCTTGCCCCCTTTTTTCTCTCATGCTTCTCTTCCTCTTGTCTGTCTGCCTCTCTCAAGTCCCCACTCCGACGCAGCCTTTCACGCTTTCACTCTCCCCCTCCCAATAAACCTCTTGCACTAACTCTGTTGCGTGTGGCGAGTTTGCTTAGTGGCATACCGGGCAGGGCCCGCCAGAGGTAGCCACTTCACACTAGGAGCCTACCGGCCTGCTCCACCTGCACAGATCCACTCTCTTCCACCTGCAACAAATCTGCTTCCTGATCTGATTTCTCATTCACTGACAGCTTTGCCTTCTATTCAGTACCAACAACTGGGTCTCTGGCAGGGCTCCCGCCTCTGACCATTCCCCTGGATGTGAGGCTTCATTTCTTGAGCACAGTGCGGTTGTGTCTCTCAGGGCTCATAGACCTTGGCCCCTGTTCTTGAGAGACGATGTATTGGTCAGCTTGTGCCCACTCAATCTGGTCCTCCCTGGATTCCTGGATCTGTCTCATCCTTGGGAACTGTGTTATACACCTCCTTGCTTTTGGAGACTCACTGACCAGTATTCTCTGGACCCGCCAGTCAGGGAACTGAGAGAATTCTCCGCTTTTTTTTTCTTTGCTCCAAGACCTGCTTGTGTCTGTCTGCTCACCCTCTCTAAATGTTCTGTTTGCTGCAACATGTGGGTCAGATGAGGAGGCCTGCTTGTTCCTGCTCAGACACACAGTCCCCCCTTTCTTTTTATTTGCCCGACTCCTATTTAATATAAGGTGTGTGTGTGCGCATGGGACATGTATTTAACCCGTATGTGTAAATGGAAGCTGGCTTTAATTCTGCATATGTGTATATACCTTGGATTCAATTCTGTGATATGTACATGAAACTATTGTTTAAAAAACATGTTTTAAACAGCAGCCATGTGGCTCGCCTTCACCTTGACTGATGACATCATCATGACGTAAGCAGCTGCATGGCTGGTGGCCACTTTTTACTAAGGTTAAAGAGTGGCAGTGAAGAGACAGAAATCTTAAATAAATAAACAAACAAACACCAAACTTCCAGAGAACTTAAATAAGTGATGTCATATGTTTGATAAATAAGTTATTTAATAAACAAGATAAATATTCTATAATGGAGTTTCCAGTCCCCCAAGAGGCCCCCATGGCTTGCCAAGGGCAATGCTGGCCTCTGTGCTCCTTCAGTCTCTGCTCACAGGCCCCTTTCTCCTGTTTCCATGTGGCCCTGGTGATCTTTCCCGTCCCTTTTCCTGTCTTCTCAGGAGTCAGCCTTACGAGTGTGGCACAAATTTGTTCTGTTCCACTTTTTACTATCGACTGCCCTCAGTCATCAACCACCTGTCTTCTGGTATCGGATGGAAAGAGGGTGTGAGCTGATGCTGTGGGGATGGGGAAGGACCAGGGGCTTTCAGGTTTGTTTATGTGAAGACGGGAAAGCTTAAGTGCTGACCAGGAGAAAGCGATCTGAGATGTATAAAACAATGGAAACGTGTTCCAGATTTCTCTCTCTTGCTCTGTTACTGTTCACAATCTTGACATTAATTGATGGAATTCTGGTAAGCTATCAGTCTAGCTCTGGCGGAGCACTAAACATTATACTCTACCACTATAGTGTCACAGCCACAAGCTCAGGGTTTCAAATTCTCTTTGGTTGCTTTCCAATGTGTCTAAAACATATCTTTATATAGATTCAAAATTCTCATGAGCTCCAGGGAGTCGCCTTGAACCCACATCAAACAGCATTTTGCCAGGTCCACGTGGTGCCTACTGTTATACAGAGACTAGACAGTGAAGTGAAACAGACAGATACCCCAGGGCATGGCCAACACCCCAGATATCCCAGGTTCCCCAAAGGTGACCGGCGCCCCACCCAGGTCAGCAGGAAGCAGTCTCAAGAACATGGCATCCTCATCCCTGCCTCACCTGCTACCCCTTTCTAATTCCTCACCATTTTATAATAGACAAGAAGGAGGACTGTTAGTATTCAGGCATCTGGACTGGCCTGCCCTTGGGGTCCTGACAGGATGCCCCCTCAGCTGCAGGCACTAAGAACAACTCCCCCCCCTGCACATTGGCTAAGTTTCCTAATAAAAGGCAGGCCTTATCCACCTCCCGTCTCTTCCTCTTCCACCACTCTTGCCCCCAGAAACAGATCTCTGTCCCCTTCTCTGCTCCTTTCTCTGTCCCCTTTTCTACCCCTTCTCTCTCCTTTTCAATAAACCTCCCGTGTGAGCCCTGTTGTATGGTGTGACTCTCTCTCCCGCCGTTTTCAAAACTATAACACTGGGGACTTTCAAAAAGGAGGGTGTTTGGACTGTGTAGCAACGGGTGTGTCTCACCTAGTGCCCCACCTCCTACAGAGGGAATGTTAACACACAAATCTGAGGACAGAATCTTATTTTAGTCAGAAGTCCACCCTGATCTCATTAGAACTGTAAAAGTCAGGTCTCCATCCTCTTCCCAGCCCTAAGAAAGGATAAGGACAGTGTTCATGAAGCAGGGGCTCTAAGGTATACAAGAGAATGGAGTCTAGAGGCCTGGGCATGAGTGGGGAACAGAGTGAAGAGGCTACAGGATCAGGGTGGGTCTCACCCCAGGGATTGCAGGGTCGTCAGTCAAGAAACACAGAAACCAGAAAGTCTAAGTTCAGTAATACAAAGAGCCAGTGAATGGGTATCTTGGACTTGGAAGACTGGAGAGTACAGTATAGTGCTCGACACCACATGCAGGCAAAAGTCACTATGATCAAGAGGCTGTGTATTCATAAAACTTGGTGTGCACTGAATTTTGAATTATATGTAATTTTCATGTGTGAAACTAGAACATTATTCTCCTGAATTCTTCAGCCATTAGAGAAAGGTGAAAATGAGTTGGAGAACTATTCGGGTTTTTAAATCACATATTGCTCTGCTGGAGAAGCGGAGTTTGAATCCCAGCATTCACACCAGGCAGCTCACAACAGCCTGTGATTCCAGCTCTGGGTGATCCAGCGCCCTCTTCTGGCCTCCACAGGCACTGCACTCACATGTGCATATACAAAAATAAAATTAATCTTTTTTTAAAATGTGGGGAAAAAAGAAAGAAAAGAAAAATATAAATGTGAAAATCAGATTAAAATCTAAGCTCAGCAGTGCACGTCTGTAACTCCAGAACTTGGGAGGAGGGGGAGAGGGAGACAGGTGGATCCCAGGGCTCTCTGGCCAGCCAGTCCAATGGAAAAGGCAGTGAGAGAAATGCCTTGGAATAAAGCTATCCAATAAAATGAAAGAACTCTACAATGAGGACTGTAAAACAGAGAAAGAAACTGAAGAAACCAGAAGATGAAAGGATGGATCATATCCACGAGCTGGGAGAATGAATGGTATGAAAATGTCAATACTCCCAAAACCAGCTCACAGGTTCAATACAGTCTTCATCAAAAGTTCAGTGGTCTTCAAAGAAATAGGAAAAAATAACATTCTTATGGAAGAAAAGAGATTCCAGAGAGTTAAAGAATAATTCTGAACAAAAGAACAGTGCTGGGGGTTTCAGTAACCTGATCTGAAACTATCCTACAGAAGCATAGTAACAACAATAATAAAAACCACAAAACCCAAAACATGGTATTACCATAAAAACAGACACACAGATCAATGGAATAAAATAGAGGACTCAGACACAAATCTGTGGGGTTTTTTCTTCTTTATTCTTTGGGAGGTCCACCACTCAGCTCCCAAATAATTACACAGAGACTTATTCTTTCTTATAAATGCCCAGCCTTAACTTGTCTTATTTCTAAGCAGATTTTCTTTTTTCTTTTTAAATTTTTTTATAATTAATTTTACTTTAAGTTCATTGGTGTTTTGCCTGCATGTATGTCTGTGTGAGAGTGTCAGATCTTGCAGTTACAGACAGTTGTGACCTGCCTTATAGGTGCTGGGAACTGAACCTGGGTCCTCTGGAAGAGCAGTCAGTGCTCTTTACTGCTGAGCCATCTCTCCAGCTCTAGCCAGCTTTTCTTAAATTATTCCATCTACCTTTTGCCTCTGGGTTTTTATCTTTCTCTATTCTATATAACTTTCTTTACTTCTTATTCGTGGCTTGCTATGTAGCTGGGTGGCTAGCCCTGGGCCTCTTCTCTCCTCTTTTTTTCTTTCTCCACTCTCTTCTCTTTTTCTCCTTCTATTTATTCTCTCTGCCTGGCAGTCCCATGTCCCTCTCCTACCTAGCTATTGGCCAATCAGCTCTTTATTAGACCAATCAGGTGTTTTAGATAAGCAAAGTAACATAGTATCCCAGAGTTAAACAAATGCAACATAAAAGAACATATTTTTGCATCATTAAACAAATGTTTCATAGCATAAGCAAATGTAACACATCATCAACTAATATTCCACAACACAAACCCACACATGTGACTTTGTGATTTTTGGCAAAGAAACAAAAAACCCACAAAAAAAAAAAGACCATACATCAGAGAAAAGAGAGCAAGTGATGCTGGGAAAGCTGGGTATCCTTGTGTAGAGAAATGAAGCTGTGTCCCTGCCTCTCAGTCTGTGAAATCAGCTCAAACTGCGTCGTCTTGATGTAAGAGCTAAAACTGTTGGAAGAAAAAGTAAAAAAACTCCTTCAAGATTCAGGTAAGGGGTTTCTGCAAGGGCTCTGGTCACTCTGGAAACGGTGCCAATGATTAGCAGATGGGGTTTTATGAAATTCAAAAGCTTCCATGTGGTATAAGAAACAATCACTGTGTGAGTAGAGACAGTCTTCTGAGTGGGGCAAAACCTTCACAGCTATTCATTTGCCATAGGATTAAGATCCAGATATACCAAGAACTCAGAAAAGAAAGAAATCAGATGAATACCTAGAAACAGCTAGAATTTGATAGAAAGAAATCCAACAGTACAGCTGGTAAATGAGCTAACACACAGACTCTTCTCAAGATGGACTACAAATGACCAATTAGTACAAGAAAAATGTCTGGAGACCCACATTGGAGCTGAAATCTCAAGGTCCAAATCAGGAGCAGAAGGAGAGAGAGCACAAGCAAGGAACTCAGGACCGCGAGGGGTGCACCCACACACTGAGACAATGGGGATGTTCTATCAGGAACTCACCAAGGCCAGCTGGCCTGGGTCTGAAAAAGCCTGGGTCAAAACC